TTTTCATACCTGGGTATTAACATCCCTAGGAACTCAAAACTCCTCTTCAGGCTTAATTATTCGGTTCTAACTGATGAGCTCAAGTGTATGATAGATATCTGTGAACTTAGGTGTAGGTCTATTAGATTATGTTGTGGTGATCCTCGAGTTGGGGGATGGGTGTTTGTACTGAAGTGCAAAATTAAAACCAGTGGAAGATGGACAGTAACAGACTAAACTCCAAACAATACATTATGTTACAGATTTTACACATTTAAGAAATAGCACAAATACATACAGATCATTCGATTATAAATATCGAGGATTAACAGAAGGAATTATAAATAAAAATCAAGAAACTTGACAAGAATATTCCAGAGTAGAAAAGAGCGTGTGTAAAAAGGGTGTAACTATTGCAGTGTTCACAGTGTGTTAGATGGATGAGTTGTACAGGGAGATGGCCACAGGCAGGAATGATTTCCTGTATCGGTCAGTGGTGCTTTTTGATAATCTCAGTCTCTCACTGAATGTGCTTCTGTGACTAGCCAGCATGTCATGGAGAGGGTGGGAGGTATTATCCAACATTGTCTTTATCTTGAACAACATCTGCCTCTCAGACACCACCCTAACGGAGTCCAGCTCCATCCCCACAACATTACTGGCCTTGTGGATCAGTTAATTTAGTTTGTTGTCATCTGTGACCCTCAACCTGCTGCCCCAGCATGGAACAGCATAGAGGATAGCACTGGCCACAACAGAGATACAACAAGATAACATTAATTAGTAGGGATAGTGAAAACGTCTGTTTAAGTTTATTAGCCACTTGGCTATGATAGTAAACAGTAGACACTGATGTAGCTTACTGAATCTTTTTGACTGTGTTCAGCACAATATTAATTAGTCATTGTCAATTCTTGACTTGTCCTATTCTCATTGTATGACGAATTATGATGGCTGTTTGGTAGCCGTTTGCATACTATGCATACTCTCGCTCTCTTCATGTATGTGTGTGTGTGTGTTTTCGTGTGCAATCCTTAAATGTTTTTGTGTGTGTGTGTGGGGGGGGGGAGTGTTCGCCCAGGGGGCCAAATAGGCTAGGACCGCCACTGCTTAACGGCCCTGTACTGGTAACTTTTCTTATGCAGATGAGGCATTATTTCTGTACCTTTATTTAATTCCAGAGGCTTTTAAGTTATTTTTTTGCACTTGTTGACTTCTAAAAGCCTATATGACATTTTTCGTCCACACGTAAACGGCATTTCAAATCGCTGAAAACTGGTTGGAGATTTTTGAAAACCCAGTTTTTGTGTTTTTTGTGTCTATGTGATGCCATAACATAGAACAGGACTCAAACAGGGAGATCAAAATAAAACTCAGAAAAAAAAACTGAACAAAAACTCTGAACAGAGGAGCTGGAACACTAAAACATTAGAACATGACAAACACACAGCATGTACAGGGTACGACGCAACAGAGAGCAAAAGAAAACACAATTCATAATTCTGTGTTTAACCTTTACAACATTTAACACTATTTTTCTTGCCCAAAAGTAGAATGACAGGTTGGCAACACAGTTCATATCTTCTCAGACTCAGACATGAATTGAAAAGTCAATGGTGGATCATGTCTACACAGGAAAACTAAAATAGACTAAAAAGACATTTTCACTACTCAGATCTCTCTGCTAACATATAATCAGACATATACCTAATCCTTACTAGCAGATAGGGATAAGCTGTGTTTTATCACTCTGACCATTTTCAACACATTTTTAAAACACAAGATTGATTTTCAAGTCTTTTTTTCCCTCAGCTGTGATGGCAAGAGGCAGTCAGGGGGACTTCAGTCTCTCTTTACTCCACATTACACAACAGTCCATATAAAGGTTGCACTCTTCAGTGTTTTTATGATCTTAAAGAGGAGATCATAATGTTCCTGCTCAACAGCAGGCAAAAAAACCCCAAAAAACAAATACAGCTCCACAGTCAATGTCTACTTTCTGAGCGATATATTCAAACATTTGAAAAGAGTGTTTGTGGTTAAGGAGATGGACTTGCACAGCCAATGAAGGTGAGGGAGAAAAAGTTCACAACTGATATGATTCAGTATTATGGATGTTTTGCACTGTGTTTTTGTCTGCCACACCAGAGGGTGGCATAGTTTGTGTCCTGTGTTGTTGATGTTATGTGAGTTCCAGGTGGAGGCTGACCATTGGTGGAGGACTGGGAGAGGCCGGCTATAAATGAGGACCCTTCTCAACCGGCACGCCCCCGCCTACTTCCTGTTCCCAACGAACTGTGCATGTGGCTGCGTGTGAATTTGTATTCTGGAATGAGAAGCTTTTGCTGTGTTGTAAATAGTTTTGTTGTAAATATTTAAATAGTTGTAAATACTTTTACTCGGTAGCTGTAGGGGTGAGAAGCCATTTTCTTTTGGAAAGTTTTCTCCTGTTTTTGGTTAGGAAGGGAGGTAAGAGACCTGTATTTTCTTTTGGGGTTTTTCAGTGTAGGTAAGCCAGTTGCATTTCATATCTAGAGAGTTTTGTTTGTTACCCTTTGGGACTTAATAAACTGACTGGATGTTGTAAATCTGTGGCAGTTCTTGGTTTGTCTTCCTTGAGAGCAGGGAGTGTGGGGACATTTTCCTTTTTTTTTTTTTTTTTTTTTTTTTTTTTTTTTTTTTTTTTTTTTTAAGATTTTCCTTGTGTTGCACACCAGTTTCCCCTGGGCTGGGGTGTAACACAACCTACTAGAACTTGCTGTCATGCAGTCATCTGTAGCCACAGCACAGGAGCTGCAAAGTTTATCAAACTTTTTATCAAACCCTTATCAAAGTTGCAGTCATGCTCATTGTGTTTGGATCAACATACAGATGTGATTCAGGCTTTTCACACATGAACTCAATAAAAATCAGCTCCCATTCAATGCACAGAACAACAAATGGATAAATAACTTTTCTGACTAATGTAAACAGGGTATCTGTAGCCTAAATATTAACATTACTGGATGTGTATCAGGCCATGCCTGACTTACAGTTAACATTATGTTCCATCAGGGTATAATGCAATGAGTTTCTGCAGTGATGGCTTTGATATGATTGAATCATTAATTTTGTGCACATTCAGATGTCCGATATGGGCAAAATGTTTTTGTCTGTTTTGAACTATTACTGCTACTTAAGATTCTGTTTAATTACAACTCATTTGTTATTTTTATGCACTTACTCTTGTGCATGCTTTCAGATGTGATCAACTTTAAAAGTGAAGCAATGAATAAATATGACTTTTTTCATTAGTTCTTTTATATTGGTTTGAAGTTTATAAATACTTGTAGCTTGCAGGCTGTTTCAAATGTCTGGCCCAGGGACATTTCTAGGTTTGAAAATCTGATCCAACTAAATGCATATCTGCTGTAGTATTTTCTGGAGTTGCACACGACTGAAACATTGTCAGTTTATACATTTTCAGAGCAGGAAAACTCACCACTCTGCCCTTTTACCCACTCGTGGTATAAAAAAATCTGTCACCAGTTGATGACATCCAGTTCCTCCAATTATAATTAGTCAAAAATATGTAAAGCACAGTAAAATAGAGAGACCTATATTGAAATTTGAAGCTTTTTAATTCTTAATTATTTGCCAACAAGATTTCTGCATCAAGTAACAAAGTCTCAAAATACAACTTTTCAGTAAAGAAATAGAGAAGACTTCCATTTAAGACTTTTGTAAAATGGCTTTTTTCCCTCAGATCATGCTATTAAAAGTTCTAGAAGGTTGCAAAATTTATTTTAAGCAGAAAAACACAAATGGGACCCAATCACAACAGGAGAAAATGCTTAAATGTGATTAATATCGATAGTTGTAATGGGAAGCTGCTTGAGCCGTAATAACACTGATTGTAATAATGAAAATGAAGAACCCAATGGCACCTATGATTGTGGCTGCAATGTTGAGACTGCGAGCAGTGGAACCATAATGCCGTGCACCGTCCACATCTCCAACCACCTTCCTGTCTCTGGCCTGCAAGGATGAAAATATACTTTTCTCAACTTTGAAAAATGGATTCAAGCACATCTTCAATTCCACAGAAACTCAAAACATCAGATGTCATGTATAACCTCCGAAGACCCGAACTCTTCCATGGCATGCATTTTTAATTTCTCTTTGATATTTGGGCATATTGGGACCCGATGAATGTAAAAACAAAGAATTACCAGATTTTTTTTTTTACCTAATTTTTGTTTCTAAGAAAAATGAGAGCCACATATGAGGATATGTGTTTAAAATTTTGATAGAACAGTAGCAGTATAATGTCCTCGTAAGTGGATATCAGGTGCTTGTAGAGTAAAATTGAGTATTTTGGTCTAAATAACCCAAAATGTCATGTCCACATATGTGGACGCCAGGTCCTAGGAGGATAATCCGCTAATAGTCCCTGAAAATAACAAGATTCTGGTTTGTGAGCACTGATTGTTTTTTTTGTTTTTTTTTTAATTTGCAAAATGCAAAAGAGGGTAGCTTATATTGTTTGAAGTTACCGTAAATCATCTGTTTTGTTTACAGTTTATTTAGTCCTTTACTGTCTCAGTCTGATATTTTCTGTATTGCTTTCACTACTTTTAGTAAGCCTTTAATTTTAGTAACATTTCAGTAAAAGTTTAATTTCAGTTTTTCTTTATTTAAGTTGAGCTGGTTAATTTTTTTAAGCCAGAATATTACACTCCTTTTGCTGTTCTTTTATTGCATTTTATTAAAAATTTTCTATCTCAATTGCACTTCATTCATTTTATCTTCCTGTGTTATGTCCTGTATCATTTTCAATGTTTTACATAATGTTCTATTAAATTTCATTTCAATTTTTTGTTTCACATTATGCATACAAAATAAAAATGTATTGATACTCTTATTTCATTTAATTGAACTCCTTTCTTTTCCATTTTTAACATTTTTATCATATTGCATGTAATTTTATTGAAAACATATATATTTGTTTTTGTTTATATATTCTTTTATTCTTGGTTGTCTTTAATTTTCTGGCTTCTGTATCAAATCCATTTCCCAAAATGTTGGATAACTTTATCTTCTCTTATCACGTAGAGCAAACACATAAAAAAGCTATTTCTAAGAAATTAAAATGTGTCACAATAAACTCACCTTGATGGAATAAATGAGAGCTGCAAGTCCAAGGCAAAAAGGATTTGAGTAGACAAAGCAGAGCAGCGACCAGATGATATGGTCTTTGGGGGGCTCTGTGATGACTGGTTGCCCTCTTGTGATGTTCACAGCAGTGTGCTGGACCACCCCAGGCTGACCAGGGAGTCCGCCATAACCCATGCCCTGCAACTGCACAGCGTCAGTCACGTAACCTTGAGGATGCATCGCTCAAACTTTTCTCAGCACAGCTGCAATGTGGAGAGGAGAAAAGTGTGAACAAGAACAACAGAGCCACTGGCAGTTGTGGCTTTTAAAGCTTTTTTTTGGGCGGGGGGGTGGAACAGGAAGCCTATGAAAACCTGACCCACAATAGTTTTATTCATCACTACAAAAGAAGTAAGACACTAAGAATACATCAAACTGTCACCCATCTAAATATTAACACGTAAAGAAAGCACTGCCAGTCACTAAACCTCTTCTACTAACTACAGATGGACCAATCCGATATTAGTATTGGTATCAGTCCAATACTGACCTAGATTACTGGATCAGATATCAGAGAGAAATAAAAAATGTAATCCGATCCATTAAATATCAAAAAAGCACCTCACAAAACTTGCTGCACGGCGTAACTCGGCTCATAACCGTAGCACGTCGGAGCAGTGTGCATGAGCGTGATAGAGCGGCTGTGTGTATTTGGATCCTTGCTACCAAACCGGCATTTCATCTCCGAGGAAGTTATCCCAGAGAGAAGTAAAACAAGTGTGTAAGTTCATCTCTGAATGTTTGTAAAGCATTCCCACGTTAAGCTTAACAACCAATATATGGAGCGACTGCCTCTTCTCTCTCCCTCCCCTGCTGCTACTTCAATCATGAAACTGCTTAATGATCAGCTGATCGGCTTTTCTGTCGCGAGTCTGTCTCTCTTCTTTGCACCAGAAAGAGGAAACCAGCGGCTGAACAACAGCAGCACGTTTAACCTTGATAAGCTGTTGTTAGAATTTATTTAATATTACTTTCTACACCAGGATCTTTTTCTGCGTAGAGTCTAGCAAAGTTGAGCCAGGGGGGCCGATAGGGCATGAACAGGGAAAAGGGGGGCACAAAGACATACTTTTCTGTCTTATTCTCATTTAAAATGTCGAGCTTTTAATAAATAATTATCTGAATCTTACACCCAAAGTTTTAATCTGATGTAAAATGTATAGAAGTCCATTACTGTATATAGTAACTGTTAAGTCTAATATACCCTAGTAAGCTATAGTACTTTTTCCTTTGGGAAGGTACCATCTGTGCAGTCTGCAATTCTGTTGAAGAAAGATGTTGAATCTATTTAATTATTCTTGAAAAATAATTTATTTCTGTGCATTTTTTTTCACCCTGCATCAAATTAAAGTTGATTACATCGATTAAGCATCATGAGGTGGGGGTGGTTCCCTATTTTTTTTTGCTGGGAGTTTGCAACCCTATTAGTTAGGTTGCTTAATATTTCTGCTAAGTACTCTTTAAAATACCAGAATAGGGAGGATGGAGTAGGTTTAAGTTTATTAGATTGATCAGTGTTGCTGAACTATGAAATATTTTGGGTGCAGTGTATTTTTTACATACAGGTATAACAGAATAGCTTTAGTGTTGTTGTTTATTTAAACTTGAGTATGAACTTATACAAAATGCAGCAAGATATTAAAAAAACAGTTTTATTGATTAAAAAACACACTATATCGGATTCATATCGGTATCGGCAGATATCCAAATTTATCGGTATCGAACATAAAAAAGTGGTATCGTGCTATCTCTACTACTAACAGCCATGCCAGTTACAATTTGAGAAATAACTTTTATTGTCATTTTGACTTTGTGTTCCTGAGATAGTGAAACATAATGACTTTAGTAATCACCTAATTGTTGCTCAATATGATCTGAACTGCTGAAATGTCTCCATTTCTCCTTGGTGGATAAGTTAAAAATCTGAAAGGGTTCACGGTCAGTTCCAATAAACTCAGTCATGACTTTGATAAAAGTTTAATATAATTGATTTTCATTGGACAACTTCTGACTGGAAAATAGATGACTATGTTTGTAAATTGCTCTATTTTATACAGAGTCAAGCCAAAATCATTCAAAAATATCAAGAATGTGCAAACATTTCTTGTAAACAAAGATAATGTGCATTCATCAACAAGCCATCGTGTGGGGTAGTTAACCTGTCTGACAAAGTGAAGTAGGCTAAAAGATCTCAAAATGATGAAAGCCACTATCCCCAAGTGGAGAAATCTTGGAACAGCAGTGAATCTTCCCAGGAGTGGCTGGCCCAACAAAATGAATTCAAGAGCACATCAACAACTGATCCAAAAAAAAAAAAAAGAATAGTTTTTGGTAACTATTGTCTTTGATGTAAATATGTAAAAAAAACATGTGTTTGTTTCTGTTCTGTGTCCTGTGCCCTGTTTGTTTGTATATGTGTTTTTCTTGCTGCTGTTACAACTGTGGACAAGAGATATTTTATTTTGTATTCTTATGGTGACAGTTTATAATCAGAACTATCATTGATTAATCATTTAGCATTGTTGAATCAGTTGACAGAATGATCTTTGAATTTCATTTGACGGACTAGTTACACAATATGGGATCAACAAGAAAAGATTTTTAGAATATCAACAAATTAAATCCATAGTAAAAAAGAAATTTAAACCGGGTCAAGTTGAACTACAAACACCACCAAGTGTGGTTCAATTTCTTACTCTTAAA